GGCTGGCACCAAACACATCAATAGTGGAACTGCTCTGCCCTTGGCCACATTCAGGTCCCAAGCTGCCAGTTCAGGAGGTGCTGAGGTGCTCCAGCACCAATCCCTGGTGCTGCAGAGCTCAGGGCTGTGACAGGACCAAGGAAAGGTTATTATCATCATGGGAGGTAGTGAGCTGCTTCACTCAGCAGCTCTCACATGCACTTCTGAACCCCAGTGCAGGTATCAAGCAAGCATTTATACTCAAAATAAATGTTTTCTCACAAAACCAAGCATAGGAATAAAACCAAAGTCATGAGTTTCTGAGAGTAATTCCTCACCATTTAGAAAACAGGAGGGGTCCAAGAAAGAACTTCTGTGTAAGGGAGGAAGGCAGGAAGGAAGGAAATGTGAATTACATACACCTCTAGATAAGTTCCCCTTTAAAAAAAAGGAAGGAAATTAGAGTTAACTAAAAAGAGCATGTTTAGCATCACTGCACAAGCTGGGGAAAAAACTCTCGGAAATCCTGGCCAAAGATAATGCTGCCTCCTCCTGTCCCTGCTGGGCTTGCCACAGTCACTGCCCCAGGAGAGGGGAAAGGGCCATTTTTCACCCTTTTATAAGCACCACCACTTTGAAGTTACAAATCAGAGTCACCATTTGATTGTCACCTCTCCCTATGGCATCCTAGGTTTCTCTGCAATAAGCCTGTTAAAAAACATGTGTTTTCACTTTTTTTTTATTATTATTAAAAAAGGATAACTCATAACTGAGCAGAGACAAAGGCTCTGTTGATACAACAACATGTGGATTAAATCTGAAAGGAGAAAGAAAGCTGTTCTAATAAACTGACAATCCTGCTCAGAGACCTTATATCCAGATTAGTGTAATAAATCATGAGGAAAGATTTCTCTTTGGCTGAAACAACCATTTATTTAGGCATGGAACAAGAGTATTTTAAAATTACTCTGGACATTGTACACTAAAGACTTTCTCCGTTTTTGTTCTTTTTTGTTTGTTCGTTTTCTGTTGAGTTCTAAGCATATACCCAAAGTTTTGCATTTGTTTTACTTAAAAGTTGTTACTTTTTAGTGCTTAAACCTCTGACAAGTCAGCCAGACAGCATCATTGGGCTCCCACTGAAACAAGAGAAAAAAAAAAAGAAAGGAAAAAGTGGTTCTTGTTCCATTACCTCATTACATTAAGCAGAAAACTGCCCAAAATTTCAGCTTTCCCCATTATGCTCCTCTTGTGTGTTTTCACAGTAGTATTTGTTCCCTTATCCTCTGAAAAAGCAGGGCTTTTTCACTCTTTTTAAGCAGCAGACACTCTGCACTATAGCTGCCTCCCCCTATCACATACCAATTGTCCCCCAGAGGCTTCTGAGCCCAGCACAGGAACCTGCCCTGAGAGCTGACAGCCCTGTTAGAGCTCAGTGTGGGGCAGCTGAACAGCAGGGAGGGGTTCCAGAAACCCCAGTCACACCCCCAGCCCCAAAACACTGCCTGGAACCAGCACTGGGCCTCCAGAGCCCCCACGCTGCTGGGCAAAGATCAGGGTTTAGCAGAACTCGGGTACAACACTGAGCTGTAACTGTAGACAGGACTAAGAACTGCAGCCATGTTTGTTAATAAAAATCTAATTTTTACCTGCAGCTGATTTCAGAGCTAAAGCATCTGCCAATCCCCCTTAACACATTGTGCTGTGGGGATGGCATTGGCCAACCCAGGCAAACATGTCACCACAGAACACAGCTGGTCTTCAAACAATGACAAAAACCAAAACATCACCACCATAAAACAAAACTTTCAGTTCCACAGAAATGTTCTGTGAGAAAATTTCTAGGAGACATTACTCAAAACTGGAAGAAAGTGTTTCATACAAGGGTAGAGCTCCTCTTTAAGTATGTTCTCTAATGTCCCTGGCTCCTGGATTACCATGATATTTTAGAACACCCAGACTGTGGTAAAACACACCAGATCCTGGATGGGATGGAGGATAGCAATAAAGAGGTGAAGATTTTGGCTGAAGCCTCTGCCATCCACAGTGTCAGTCCTAAAGTCACTTACAGAAATCACAGGAGTACAAGAAACACTCTTCAAACCCATTAAAAACCACAATCCCCAGTCCCACAGATGAGATGCTTTAAGCTCAGCAGCTGTTTTATCTCTGCCAGAGGAGTCCCTGTATATTCCATTCCACCTTAAAATCCATCTGCCAGCCAGACAAATAAAAGGTTCCTCAGAAATTCCAGCTGATGCAGTCACTGGGAAGCCATCCCAGCTTGCCTCGTATGCTGCTGTATTCCCAACTCCCTGACAGAATCCAGGGGCCACACATCAACCCTGATCAGCTCTGGGCTGCTCTGTCCCCCTCCTGCTGCCTTTACCCAGGAGAGCAGTGGGAGCAGGGCAGTGCAGAGTGCCTGTCCCTTGTCCCTGTCCCTGTCCCAGGGCAGCCCAGGCTGCACCCTGTGCCATCAGCTGCCTCCCAGGCTGCAGCATCCCCCAGGTGCTGCTTTCCACGTACCTGCAGCCACCCACGTGGCTCAGCTCCGCTCCTCCTGAGCTCTCCCACAGAGGGATGCTGGAGAACCCCTGAGCAGGAACAGCTCTGCTTTTCTTCTATCCAGGCAACCCCTCTTTGCCAAAAAGCTACCAAGGGGATGGAAAGTTCTGGGGGGACAGAAAGGGAAAGTGCAAGAGGAGATTAAAACCTAGGACAGGAAAAAAAGGCCTGACCAGGACTTGTTCTTATTACTCTGCTTTGACTGTGGACACTAAAGTTTTGTGGCCAACAGAGTTCATAGAAGCCCTGCACAGTGACTCAGGACTCCAAAGGAAGTGCTGTGTCCTGGCTGAAGCACAGAACTTGCTTTGATAAGCACTGCTGTGGTCAGTGTTTACTGTCCTTACCCTATGGACAATGAGGTGTCCCTTGGGTACAGCGCCTTGGCACGAAGCCCTGGCAGGCTGGAAGGAGCTGCTCAGTCAGCGGGACAGACACCCTGCCCACAGCCCTGCCACATCTCCCACACCTCCTCTCCCACCCCGAGCACCACGAGGTGACTCTGAGGCACAGCAGCACCCCAGCAGCGGTGACAGAACCCAGCCATCACCTGCACATCCCACAGCAGCAGCTCTGGGGCTGAAGGAGCCTCACGTTCAGCTTTGTGCCCTGCAGGGATGCTCCAGCCAGGAAACACAGCCTGGGCTCTGCCAGGCGTCCCCAGGCTGGGGATGGGGCAGTGCTCACTGCTCAGAACCTGCTGGCTCCCACCGCTTTGGTTTGGTTTTGTGAAAGCAAAACAAGCTACCTTTGGACAAAGGTGAGACTGTGTTTACACACAATCTCACTCCTGCATATAAAAAATGCTGTTCCTTGAACAGGAAATCAAAAGTAGTACTAGTGATCTGGCTCTATAATCTTGCCAGAACAGAAGTGCCACCAAAGCAGTTGAACAATAATCACGGTCTTAAATTCGACTTCTCTGACTCCTGCTTTGTTCAGTATTTTAATTATATTTTCATAAAATTCTAAACCACTTCAGATTTCAAAGCACATTTATATACATTGATTAATTCTCCCAAGGTAAAAATTATTATCCTCTTTTTGGTACAAGGAAAGTGAAAGAAGGCACAACAAATTATTTGTCAAAGGCACAGAACTGGTGGAAGGGCTGCTACTAAAACCCAAGAGTTTCTGAAGCACCTTATATTTTTATCAAGGATTTACTTTTTAAAAGACAATAGCAACCAAAAAAAAAAACAACTGAAATGGATATATATGTAGGATCAGGGCAGTTTATGGGGTAAAGGCCACGAGAAAAGCAAGTTCATTAATTCACACTTGGAAAACTGCAGTGAATTCTCTTATAAATTGTTGCTGTGCTCCATACAGAGCACAAGTATGAAATCAGCTCACAGCACAGGCAGTCTTGCCTTGCATCACCAGTACCCAGGGTGATCCAGCTCCAGATTCCCACTTTCTGCTCTGGGGGAAAAGGACGTTTGCAGCAGGATTTCTCCGGAGAGCTGGTGGGGAACGTGGCCCCTGGGCTCCCTGGGTGATTCCAGAGTGCCCTCTAACGAGGCTGCAGCTGCATTTCACTCATACAGGGACACCAGGAAAACCCCAAACGAGCCTTCTTTCCACTTGAAAAGGGGGATGATGACAGACACTGACTGGTGACTGCTCCTGCACAGATATTTGATACTGCCCTGCACTGTACGAGCTCTTGTTGGTAAAATACCTCAGTAGGCAGCAGGATTATAGAGAAAGATAGGAAAATTCACAGTTCTCCCATTCTAAGAGAAGAAAGGATACTGATGAGTCAGATGAAAGTTAAGCCAGTACAATTTTTTAAGATAAACTGAGTTTTACACAATCTGTAAGGAATTTCTGGGTAACTTTTCAACATATGATGTCGTTAAATCAAACATTACAAAAATAAGCGATTATCGTCAATGAAGTTCACAAATCAAAATGGAATCTCCTTGAATATATTCCTTAATACACTGGTGTACTGTAAAATTCTGGCTCTTTGGGCTGCACCCAGGAGTGGTCACACCAGCTGCAGTGGTGGAACAGGACTGGCTACAAGCTCATACTGCAGCCTCATGGTTTATTGCCCAGTTCCCTTTCACCCACCTATGTAAACTAATAAACCATCCTGCAAAACAAAGAAGTTCTTAGTGAGACACAAACCCCACGCTGACCCTCAGAACAGAAACTCACTTTAACAATCTCAGCATCACATTGTCAGAATGGGGCTGTACCTCCAGCTATGCCAGGAGAGTCACAGCAGCTCCTGTCCCCAAACTCCCCTGCCCTGCACCAAGGCAGCTCACTCAGGTGTCCCTCAGCACCCCAGCTAGGAGCAGGAGGTGCAAATGATCCTTTCCCAAGCTCCTACAAGACAGAATGGAAAGGGGTAGAAGTTCCTGAAGCTGCACTGCCCCCATCCTGCCAGATGTGTCAGAAACCTCTGAACAGAGCCGGCAAAGTCAGCCCAAACTCACCCCGAGGGAGGATGGTGAAGGTGTCAGCTGCTGGGTGATGTCTGGGGGATCCTGGTGCCACCAGGAGCTGAGAGGAAGCAAACAAGCCTGTGAGCACTTGTACACCTGGCAACCCAACATCTCAGCCCCACGGCCCCCAGCAGGCCCCTGGCTAACACAGGCTGCCAGAGACATTGCTAGGTGGTTCAGAACAACACTCCTAACTCCAATAAAATGGCTCTGTCATTAGCCCAGAGGTGCCCTATGTCATTCCCTCTCCTCCCAGGCTACATCACTGCACACATCAGCAAGCTATTTAACGCACATCTGGGTAAATTATTCACAGCAGCAGCTGCTTTGGTTGTCTGAGTATAACTGAGTGAAGTGGCATCCACCTCTGTGTGAGGATCCCTCTCACACATCATCCCATCCATCATCTCATCCCTCTCAGAGCTGAGAACTCCCAGCACAGGGAGCACTCCCTGCTGCCTGTGCAGAATCCCACAAGTTGCACTTGTTCCAGCCGTGCCAGTTGCCATTTGCAGTGGGAAGGAGCAATGTGAGGTGTTCAGTTTAGTCCTCCTGTGTCTGCAGGAGCTCTGTGCAGCCCACGCTGAGCCGAGGGCTGTGTGTGAGCAGCGCTGTCACTGCCCAGCAGAGAGAGGAGCGTTCTGCACTGCTCAGCTGCAGCCACCAGCACAACTCTGAGTGCAGCATTGCTACAGGCAGAACTGCTGCCTTACAACTGTCAGAGCTTTTCTGACGGAGCATTTACATTCCAGAAGATGCCTTTGGCTGTTTTTGCTCCAAATGTTAAAATTTGTTTGCTGCTGGCCTGTTGATTGCAGAAATTGCAAGAGTCTCTGAACACACCTCGAGCATTGGGATCCTTCAGCTGAGGAGCTCCCAACACTCTCAGGCCGGCCCAGCTGGGGATTGGCAGGACACGGGTACATCAGTGGCACAATGTGAACCGCACTGGTGGGGAAGGAGTTGATTTCTTGTGCGGTTTTCAGTATTTCTAAAGAAAATCAAGCTGTAGTGACCATGTGTGTACACGTGGTCAGGACGGGCTGCCAGGGCCGCTCCAGTTCTAACCACATTTTATCTTTCTATGTGTGGACAGTGCTCGCGGTTCTCCCGATTCCACTGACTCTTCTTTTCCATTCCCTGCAACATTTCAAACCAGCGGCAGGGAGCCCGAGCAGTTTGTTTCAAACGGAACCCGGCCGGCTCCGCGGCTCCCGGCGCAGAGCTGCCGCGGATCTCTTTGCTTTGTTAACTTGTAATACTTCACTGTCTCGAGCCCCGAGCCCTCTGGAGCTCGTACGGAGGAGCTGGAGGTGCAGCCGCCGCCAGAGCTGCCGCTGCCCGCCCCGCTCCCGCAGCCCGGGCCCCTGGGCCGGCCGGGCCCGGAGCCGCCTCAGGGCGCGGGGCGCACCCCCGGCCGCCCGCCCGCCGCTGCTCTGGGCAGCCGGGGCTGCCCTTCCGCCGCTCCGCTGGGGCTGCACGGCCCGGGCCCGCTCCCTCCGGGACTCACCGGGCACCGCCGCTCCGAGCCTTCCCCGCCTTCCCCGCCGCTCCGAGCCTCAAACCCCGGCGGCCCCGGAACGTCTGGCGCACGGCACCGCGCCCAGCCCGGTCCCTGTTCCGGGACACCGGCCCGCAGCGCCGCTAGGGGGCGGTGCCGCCCGCGGCAGCGAGAGCGTGGGGGGCTCTGCCGTATTTACCGGAGCACAGCGCCACCCTCCCTACCGTACTCTGCGTACCCGCACCTCCCCGGCCGCGACAACATCTACATCTTAAATTTACATTAAATATTTTATTCGAAGAAGCTCCAAAAGCGGTATTTTGGCTGCGGCAGCGCCGGCCGCGGCCCGGCTTCTGGCGGCTGCTCGGTGCCCTCGGGTGCCCTCAGCGAGCAGCATCACCCCCAGCTCAGCTGTGGCCCGCCCGGTCCGGCCGCCCGCCGCGCTCCGTCAGCCATCCCGGGCTCCGGGCAGCCCCTTGCCGCCGTCCTGTGTCCCCCCTTCCTGACCCGTGTCCCCTCAGGGGCTCGGTGTCCCCTCCCCCCCGCAGGGGAGCAGCGGAGCGGGCGGAGGTGGCCCCGCCCCGGCAGGTGAGGCCCGGCCCGCAGGTGAGGCCCGGCCCCGGCAGGTGAGACCCGGCTCTCAGGTGAGCCCAGCCCCGGCTCTCAGGTGAGCCCAGCCCGCAGGTGAGGCCCGGCCCGCAGGTGAGCCCAGCCCGCAGGTGAGCCCAGCCCGCAGGTGAGGCCATGGCGTACCGGGAGCTGCTGCGGCGCTGGCACGAGGCCGTGCGGGAGGCAGACCGCGGGCACTGGGACGCTGCCCTGGACACCTGGAGCGGCATCGCGGAGCCGCCCGCCAGGATCTGCTTCAACATGGGCTGCGTGCAGCTGCTGGCCGGGCGGCCTGAGGCGGCACTGAGGGTGAGCACCGGGCAGGAACCGGGATGGAACCGGGCAGGAACCGGGATGGAACTGGGATGGACGGGCAGCTCGGCTCCCCCGGCTCTGTCTCGGAGGGAACGGTGCTGAATCTGGATGTGAAATGCAGCTTTTCGTGTCCTGCGTGTCCACGGGAATGCGAGCAGGGATGTTGAAGGGTGAATGGTTTGAGGAAAAGGTTTAGCAGAGGGAATCATAGAAAAGTGAAAAAGGTTGAAGTTAAAAAGGCAGATGTGGCCGTTGAGGACAGGGCTCGGTGGTGAAATCGGTGATGCTGGGTTAACAGATGGATCTTTGAGGCGTTTTCCAGCTTTAATGATTCTGTGATTCTGTGGTTCTCTGAATACTATGAAAATCCAGATCAGTGGGCAGAATCATTTTCAAAGAATATAATAGAGACAGAAAGTACTTTAGATACTAGAAACTACATCCAGCAATGTACCTTAAGTTTTGTTTAAGCTAAATCAGTTTAAGTCGTGCCCTTTAGGTGAACTTAGCTCATTATCATGTGAAAACCACACCTCTAAAGTTCAGCCTGCCTGATTCCAAGTGAAGACCTCAACCCACTGAACATGCACAATGAATTTAAAATGTATTGTAGCTTTAAATGAAAGCAGGAAAAGCATTGTTCAATAGGTGTTCTGTAGGCATGGGTTTAGACATGAGATGGGTGTATTTTGAAAGTACAAATATATTGCTTGGCAGTGGAGACTGCCAGAACAAAACTGCTGTACTGGAAAACCACTGCTGTTGGGAAGGTGCCTTGAAGAAAAGCCTTGCTGTGACAGCACCTGATGTGTCTGTGCATCCATCCATCCATCCATCCATCCATCCATCATCCATCCCTCCATCCATCATCCATCCATCCATCATCCATCCATCATCCATCCATCATCCATCCATCCATCATCCATCCATCCATCCATCATCCATCCATCCATCCATCATCCATCCATCCATCATCCATCCATCATCCATCCATCATCCATCCATC